CACACACACTTGGAGTAGAAGACGCCTAACAATCACATGGAATATTATATACTTCACAAACACTTGGAGTAGGAGACGCCTAACAATCACATGGAATACTATATACTTCACAAACACTTGGAGAAGAAGATACCTAACAATCACATGGAATATTATATACTTCACAAACACTTGGAGAAGAAGATACCTAACAATCGCATGGAATAGCATACACTTCACACACATTGGAGAAGAAGATGCCTAACAATCGCATGGAAAAGCATATACTTCACACACACTTGGAGAAGAAGATACCTAACAATCGCATGGAATAGCATACACTTCACACACACTTGCAGTAGAAGACGCCTAACAATCACATGGAATAGTATATACTTCACAAACACTTGGAGAAAAAGATGCCAAACAATCGCATAGAATATCTTATTCTTCACACACACTGGGAGAAGACAATAAGTCAAACACAGTTGGAGTATTCGAATACACAATGCCTTTTAGAAAAAGTTCAAATGTAACATGTTATATTTGGGACTACGCTTCCTAGTATGTAATATGTAATGTAGAAATAAAGGATCAAATACCTCACTTGCAGTTTGAGGGGATCACTGGCACACAGTTGTACAAGTAGATAACTGGCACACAGTTTGACAATGAGATAACTGGCACACAGTTGGACAAGTAGATAACTGGCACACAGTTGGACAAGTAGATAACTGGCACACAGTTGGACAAGTAGATAACTGGCACACAGTTTGGCAATGAGATAACTGGCACACAGTTGGACAAGTAGATAACTGGCACACAGTTGTACAAGGAGATAACTGGCACACAGTTGGACAAGTAGATAACTGGCACACAGTTGTAAAAGTAGATAACTGGCACACAGTTGTACAAGGAGATGACTGGCACACAGTTGGACAAGTAGATAACTGGCACACAGTTGTACAAGTAGATAACTGGCACACAGTTGGACAAGTAGATAACTGACCCACAGTTGGACAAGTAAATAACTGGCACACTGTTCGCAATGGCTTTGGTACTCTGGAATATTCATTTCGACTTTCACGAAAAGACACATTCAGAGGAAGTAACAAAATGCAACTTGTCGCTACACTCATATATACGCAATGACTCAAATTATGTAGGTGTTACGGTTGTAGCGGGACCTGTTCACCTGAGGGAGACCATCTGTTCCGGCAGACATTCAAGTGGGACCTGTTCACTCTGAGTGAGACCATCTGTTCTGGCAGACATTCAAGTGGGACCTGTTCACCTGAGTGAGACCATCTGTTCCCTCAGACATTCAAGAGGGGCCTGTTCACCTGAGTGAGACCATCTGTTCTGGCAGACATTCAAGTGGGACCTGTTCACCTGAGTGAGACCATCTGTTCCCTCAGACATTCAAGTGGGACCTGTTCACCTGAGTGAGACCATCTGTTTCCTCAGACATTCAAGTGGGACCTGTTCATCTGAGTGGGACCATCTGTTCCGGCAGATATTCAAGTGGGACCTGTTCACCTAAGTGGGACCATCTGTTCCCTCAGACATTCAAGAGGACCTGTTCATCTGAGTGAGACCATCTGTTTCCTCAGACATTCAAGTGGGACCTGTTCACCTGAGTGGGACCATCTGTTCCCTCAGACATTCAAGTGGGACCTGTTCACCTAAGTGGGACCATCTGTTCCGGCAGACATTCAAGAGGACCTGTTCATCTGAGTGGGACCATCTGTTCCGACAGACATTCAAGTGGGACCTGTTCACCTGAGTGAGATCATCTGTTCCCTCAGACATTCAAGTGGGACCTGTTCACCTGAGTGGGACCATCTGTTCCCTCAGACATTCAAGTGGGACCTGTTCACCTGAGTGGGACGATCTGTTCCGGCATACATTCAAGAGGGACCTGTTCACCTGAGTGAGACCATCTGTTCCCTCAGACATTCAAGGAGGACCTGTTCACCTGAGTGGGACCATCTGTTCCCTCAGACATTCAAGTGGGACCTGTTCACCTGAGTGGGACCATCTGTTCCCTCAGACATTCAAGAGGACCTGTTCATCTGAATGAGACCATCTGTTCCCTCAGACATTCAAGTGGGACCTGTTCACCTGAGTGGGACCATCTGTTCCCTCAGACATTCAAGTGGGACCTGTTCATCTGAGTGGGACCATCTGTTCCCCAGACATTCAAGAGGACCTGTTCAGCTGAGTGGGACCATCTGTTCTGGCAGACATTCAAGAGGACCTGTTCACCTGAGTGGGACCATCTGTTCCCCTCAGACATTCAAGTGGGACCTGTTCACCTGAGTGGGACCATCTGTTCCCTCAGACATTCAAGAGGACCTGTGCAGCTGAGTGGGACCATCTCTTCCGGCAGACATTCAAGTGGGACCTGTTCAGCTGAGTGGGACCATCTGTTCCGTCAGACATTCAAGTGGGACCTGTTCATCTGAGTGGGACCACCTGTTCTGGCAGACATTCAATAGGGACCTGTTCACCTGAGTGAGACCATTTGTTCCGGCAGACATTCAAGAGGGACCTGTTCACCTGACCATCTGTTCCGAGACATTCAAGTGGGACCTGTTCACCTCAGACATCTGTTCCCCAGACATTCAAGTGGGACCTGTTCACCTGAGTGAGACCATCTGTTCCCTCAGACATTCAAGTGGGACCTGTTCACCTGAGTGGGACGATCTGTTCCGGCATACATTCAAGAGGGACCTGTTCACCTGAGTGAGACCATCTGTTCCCTCAGACATTCAAGTGGGACCTGTTCACCTGAGTGGGACCATCTGTTCCCTCAGACATTCAAGTGGGACCTGTTCACCTGAGTGGGACCATCTGTTCTGGCAGACATTCAAGAGGACCTGTTCATCTGAGTGGGACCATCTGTTCCCTCAGACATTCAAGAGGACCTGTTCAGCTGAGTGGGACCATCTGTTCCGGCAGACATTCAAGTGGGACCTGTTCAGCTGAGTGGGACCATCTGTTCCGTCAGACATTCAAGTGGGACCTGTTCACCTGAGTGGGACCATCTGTTCTGGCAGACATTCAATAGGGACCTGTTCACCTAAGTGAGACCATTTGTTCCGGCAGACATTCGAGAGGGACCTGTTCACCTGAGTGGGGACCATCTGTTCTGGCAGACATTCAAGTGGGACCTGTTCACCTGAGTGAGACCATCTGTTCCCCCAGACATTCAAGTGGGACCTGTTCACCTGAGTGAGACCATCTGTTCCCTCAGACATTCAAGTGGGACCTGTTCACCTGAGTGGGACGATCTGTTCCGGCATACATTCAAGAGGGACCTGTTCACCTGAGTGAGACCATCTGTTCCCTCAGACATTCAAGGAGGACCTGTTCACCTGAGTGGGACCATCTGTTCCCTCAGACATTCAAGTGGGACCTGTTCACCTGAGTGGGACCATCTGTTCCCTCAGACATTCAAGAGGACCTGTTCATCTGAATGAGACCATCTGTTCCCTCAGACATTCAAGTGGGACCTGTTCACCTGAGTGGGACCATCTGTTCCCTCAGACATTCAAGTGGGACCTGTTCATCTGAGTGGGACCATCTGTTCCCTCAGACATTCAAGAGGACCTGTTCAGCTGTGTGGGACCATCTGTTCTGGCAGACATTCAAGTGGGACCTGTTCAGCTGAGTGGGATCATCTGTTCCGGCAGACATTCAAGACAGATTGTGGAGGAGAACATGGTGACAACTGGATGACAAAATGTACGTAGTATTGTTCTTAGACTTAAGTGCAGGACAAAAGAAGTTACATCTGGGAAATTCTTTCTTTCTTACATTTATGCATTCAAAGTCAATACAAACTTCCTGTCTTCATCTAATTGCATGACCACAGCAATGATGCATGTGTCTATTTATGCTACACACACAACCACTGCAAAACACAATAGAGCTAGAATCCATTGCTTAGAAGTCCTACCCTTCATGTCAGTAGGACAGACAGCACTTTGGTCGAGGTTTCAAGTTGACTACTTACTGTTCTTAAGCAGTGTTATTCATTGTGGAACAGAGTTATATTTGTATTACATTGTTTCGGTTGAGATTCGATATGGGGACAAGCTTCTAAAACAGAAACTCCTGGGAGCTTTTTATCCATTGTAATTCCTTTGCTGTAATTTGTATTGATTTTAAAACCTAGTTAACTTCATTATACAATCGTTAATTATATCACATTTATTGTTGTTGTGTGTCGGCTTCACGCCAAATGTTCTTGCACATCTCCTAGACGCCGGTTAACGTATTGTTACAGCTGGGAAGGAGACATGTAACACTACAAAGAGAGCACATGGATTACATGTGGTTATCCATTTTACGCAACCAAAAGTCGTATCTACATTGATATTTACTGGTCGCCAGAACGGAGAAATAGGACATTTTCATGAAAATATGAAAATCATTACAAAATGAATTGCAAATGTCAGTGAGATTTTAACTATTGTAAATGCAATCGATGAGGGCGACACATTTAATGAAAACAAAGTGATTTGAGTGCAAATGCTTAGATCTCAATTTCAACATACAATCAGCCATTCTTACATATTAGTTATATTTGCAGTTCACAACGCCACTGCGCAGCGTGTGTAGTTTCCAACGCAGTTAATCAGAGCCAGTTTCTGATATGTCATATCGTTTTGTTGCCACCTTTCCACGATAATTTAGTCATACAGATAATCCCATCACATCTACGACATTCCACGGTTCCGGTCGAGGTTGGAATGTGCAGATCTTAAGTTAAGAAGTTAATGGAGTATATTCTGTGCCACCTTCTACATATATCTAACCTATAACCCCCATGCCCTCTCCCCTTCCGCCCAACGCTCACACGTCCCCATTGACAGCCTGCGTGCGTACATCATCTACGTTAGACCAGCGAGACTTACCCTACTGATGACGTAGTAAGTATGTTGGGCGCATCCTCCGCCTTGTCTGCTACACCGTATAAATACAAAACTAAACACACCGTGGATAACAGTCGGAGAACCTGCAAGATCAGCTTATCTGCATCAGTTATACAAATCACATCTGCAGCTATGCTACCTAAGTGTTTCATCTTTGCCTGCTTGGTGAGTAAATAAACCAGTTAATTCTACTCAAACTATCATATTACACTTTCTTCTACTTAATGGTAATTTCATTTCTTTAAACAACTGAAATGCATTCGAACCGTATAGGAATATTTTACTGTGGAAAAGAATCAGTTTGCATCATTCATTGTCTTTGTGGCATTTTAATTACTTCTAAATGTTAAACCAATATAATATGTTCTGTGTGTGGAGGTTTAATGGTTGTGTAATGATGTTGAACAGGCTTTCGTTGGCCGCGTGTCCAGTAAGCCTGCACACCCTGGGAAATATCACAACGACCAACTTCAACAGCACTTCGGACCAGGTAAATTATGAATGGAATTCAAATAAAACATATGTTAACCTTCAAATATATGAATAAATCACCGAAACATTGCAGTATATGACAAAGCAATCTATTAGACTTCTTAGTCTTCATTGCTAATAATTTCATTTTCATTCACGTACAGTTTATTCATTAATATATATCGTTTCAGAAACTTTGCTGTTGAATATTATTCCTTGCAAGCGTTTTGCTCATGTTGATTCTGACATTCCAGGTTGCGGAGGGAAACCAGCTGAGCTCTTCTTTCTCTTGGACACTTCATCCAGCATATGGCAACCCGATTTCAGAACTCAACTGGATTTCGTCTCTGACGTCGTCGACCTGTTCGACATTGGCCCCAACAACACACGGGTCGGTGTTGCCACCTTTTCCTCACTCTACTACCCACAGTTCGGTCTGGATACATATGAGGACAAAGAACAGCTCAAAAAAGCCATTCTCGAGATACCCTACATGGGCGGAAACACACTCACCGGAACAGCCATCAGATACATGCGCGAGAAGGCCTTTGCTCCAGGGATCGTCCGTGACGGCGTAGACAAGATCGCCGTAGTTCTGACTGATGGAAGGTCACGTTACCCTGGTCAGACTGAGACAGAGGCTATGAAGACCAAGATGGAAGGCATCAACGTCTTTGCTGTTGGTATTGGTAAAAACTTTGATCCCAAGGAGTTGACCCTCATCGGCAGCGAACCGTCAGAGACTTACGTGTATGAAGTGGCGAGCTATGATGCTTTGGAAAATATAAAGGAAAACTTTGCCTTGGGTGCATGTGAAGGTGAGACCTTTGAAAAAACGATATTTTGGTTAACTTTCAAATTAACTTTTTTTAAATAGAACTGTAGAAGGGAGGAGGAGAGGTATTGGGATGAATGATCTGTGTATTGTGTACATGGAAACATGCTTGCCTGTGAGTACAATATTAATATAGACAGGCGGAATCTCCTCCTGCAGTAAGTCACAGTACACCAATCAGGCAATCAATACCTTTATGATATCAGTGAACTACTATCAGTATTCCAGTAATATCACGACAGGGGGTACACCAAGCAGTTGGCTTCTCACACTGATCCAATGGAAGGAATCGAGGACCTCTGGGTTATCTGCCCCTGGTCATCATCTAATCCATACAACGAATAATAGAACACTAAAACTGAATTTTCTGAACATTTCTCACACTATTTAGTTTAAAGAAGAAACATCTATTTTTTCCTCTTCATTGTCAATGCGAATTTCTGTTTCAGACATCATGGCGGAGGCCATCATGCAGGGAGATCAGTCAGGTATGAACTAGTCCTCATGACAATAACAACATAGCCATACGGTTTGAACCAGAACAGAGTTGCATACCGCCACCATACACACACTACCGACAACACTGAAACTTACTGCTCATAACAGTACCATTACATGTTACATTTCCAGCTTGCCACAGCGACACCTTGGCCGATGTCATGTTCGTGTTCGACTCTGCTGCTATGGGATCAACTAAGACGAGCAAATTACAGGAGTTCATCGGAACCGTCGTGGATGAGTTCAACTTTGCGGATGGCGTCATGAGGGCCGGTGTTGTTTCCAGGAACTGTCACGATGGAGATATAGAGCTTGGAGAGGTGAGTGGCCTATTCAGGTATGTGTGTGTGCGTGCTTGTTTGGTAACGCTGCCTGTAGCAGTATTTCAGCTGTATCAGGATGGCCTGTGAATAAATCTGGGACTAAAATTCACTTATCGATGTAGTGAACACCAACCCACGGAATCTTAGTACATTAAAAACCTATTAACAAAGTCACTAAGTCTGACTGCCCGATCCGGTAAATCGCCTCCAATGTGGTTGGGAACCAATTCTAACCCGGAACCCCTCAAAGGATCATGTGCGTTGAGCTTCGTAGGGGAATTGTGATAGGTGGACACGTTCAGGGGGATATCTGTATTAATGTCTGTTATTACTTGCCTCTGTTCCCGATAACTGATGTATTTACAAAGCATACGTCTTATGTTTCCAGCACTCAGACAAAGATGAGTTTGCCAAAGATCTCCGAAACCGTGACTACCCGGATCTGAGTCAAGTCCTTCGGAAGATGCACCGTCACAGCTTCACCCTGGAACATGGTGCACGAGAAATGGCGAGGCGCATGGCTGTTGTGTTTGTGGATGATAAGCTGGAGATTCCGAAGGGTGTGTTCCACGAGATAGAGGAGTCCAAGAATAAAAACATCGAGATCTTCGTGGTGGCCATTGGTGAGGAAGTTGATATAGCGAAAGTGGAGGCCATGGCGTCATCTCCAGATCACGTGTTCCCGATTCCCGACTATGACGTCCTACGCGAGACTAATCTGCAACTTATCGACGTTCTTTGTGCAGGTACTGATGTATACTTTTGATATAAGAGTTATCCTTATGAATATGTCTATGTCAATGTCTATGTCGTAGTAGAAGTTGTAGATGTTGTAGTGGTGGCAGGACTAACAGTTGAAGCTGTTATTGTGATAGATGTTAGCTTTTGTATAACGTTGTCCCTTCGCCTTTGTTCACCCTGTCAAAGGTTTTTTATGCCGCAATCGACGTGCTAAAAACGTTCACATTGATATTTTCTAGCTTTAACAATTATTCGTTTCCTCTTTCCAGACTACTAAAGAATAGTTATCTGGTGAAGCTGGTTATCTCATCCATCATGGCCCCTGCATTACATCAAACTCGAGTGTTCCACCGCAGCACTATCTAACAATTAATTCACGGTTACCTGTGGATATCATGGTTAGAATTGGTCTTCAGTAACACATACTTGTCGTAACAGGAGATAAATGGAACAGAGCTTTCAGGCTGGTCCTGGCACAGACTCGCATATTTATCAACATCCGTCGTATAAGCTGGACTATTGTTTGGTACGGCGTTAAACAGATATCACAAACATTGTATGAGGTTAACATATATTACCACAACTCTGCCTACGGTCCTTGGTGCTGCTGGCCGACACTTGGACCTAAGAACTGACTCTATATTATATATCATAAGTGTACAAAACAGGTACTGGATGTAATACTGAATATATTTATACTCAAGTGATGTTTAATTTTTACAGTGCGGTTGTTATTGACTCTTGTCCAATCCAGATTGTGAAGAAATGTTTACATCTAATACTCGTCTCTTGTGATTGTTTATGGTTGAATACAGATATATGAAAGATGTCTCCTTACACTCAGGGACATTTTATTTTCAAGGAATATGTACGCTTCAGTGCCATTAGTCGTGATCGACACTCCCCACTGACAGTAACGAAATGTCCATGGCCGTCGTTGAAGTGTAGTCCTTGAAGTGTAGCTCCCTGAGTCAATGTTCATGTATAGTGTGCATGACAATAGTATTTTGAAAATAAATTTGAATTATATTGACTTATGTTTTATGCCTTGTTTGTCAAACAAAGCCCGTGTTTCCTAATGACAATACCACTGCACTGACGCAGTGATGTAATGGTATCGGGCCAGTCGGTGATGGCAGGGAAGGGGCAGCATGCTTACACAAGGGAGACTACTCTGTAGCACCGTATAGTTCTGGTGATCACAATGGCGCATACAAATCCTAGGGGTGAGACATGTCTGATCTGCAGGCGACAACGTTGCCTTCGTGTGACTAGATTTCGATATGTAACAAATGTGTTCCTGATGTAAACCCATATTGATCTTTTTTCCTCGAGTACTTTCAGTTACGTTCACTAAATTACAATATGATGTATCGCCTCGAGTACTTCCCATTCCTTCCCACACACTGACAAGATCGATCTTATTGGTATTGTAGGAGCGCTTCAAACGCTATAATAACTTGATCGGCAGAGAAAGGTGAGATTAATCCTTTTTAATCGAATAACATTGCCAGATTCCCTTTGATGATACATGGCCAAAACTATTTGTTGAGGGGGGAATGATGGTGGTAGGTAGGGAGGATGTATGGTGGTAGATAGGGAGGATGTATGGTGGTAGGTAGGGAGGATGTATGGTAGGAGGTAGGGAGGATGTATGGTGGGAGGTAGGGAGGGTGTATGGTGGGAGGTAGGGAGGGTGTATGGTGGTAGGTAGGGAGGATGTATGGTGGGAGGTAGAGAGGATGTATGGTGGAGGTATGGAGGGTGTATGGTGGGAAGAAGGGAGGATGTATTGTGGAGGTAGGGAGGGTGTATGGTGGTAGGTAGGGAGGATGTATGGTGGAGGTATGGAGGGTGTATGGTGGGAAGAAGGGAGGATGTATTGTGGAGGTAGGGAGGGTGTATGGTGGTAGGTAGGGAGGATGTATGGTGGTAGGTAGGGAGGATATATGGTAGGAGGTAGGGAGGATGTATGGTGGGAGGTAGGGAGGATGTATGGTGGAGGTAAGGGAGAGTGTATGGGTGGTAGGTAGGGAGGGAGGGTGTATGGTGGGAGGTAGGGAGGGTGTATGGTGGTGGGTGGGGAGGATGTATGGTGTAGGGAGGTAGAGGAGGATGTATGGTGGGGAGGTATGGGGAGGATGTATGGTGGGAAGTAGGGAGGGAGTATGTGGGAGGTAGGGAGGGTGTATGGTGGTAGGTAGGGAGGATGTATGGAGGGAGGTAGGGAGGGTGTATGGTGGAGGTAGGGAGGGTGTTATGGTGGGAGGTAGGGAGGGTGTATGGTGGGTAGGTAGGAGGGTGTATGGTGGGGATGTAGGGAGGGAGGTAAAAGTGGATGTAGGGAGGATGCATGGTGGGGAGTTAGGGGAGGATGTATGTGGTAGGAGGTAGGGAGGGTGTATGAGGTGGGAGGTAGGGAGGGTGTATGGTGTGAGGTAGGGAGGGTGTATGGTGGTGAGGTAGGGAGGATGTATGGTGGAGGTAGGAGAGGTGTATGTTGTGGAGGTAGGAGGGTGTATGGTGGAGAGTAGGGAGGGTGTATGGTGGGGAGGTAGGGAGGGTGTATGGTGGAGGTAGGGAGGGTGTGTATGGTGGGGAGTTAGGGGGAGGTGTATGGTGGGAGTAGGGAGGATGTATGGTTGGAGGTAGTGGGGAGGGTATATATATGGTGGAGAGTAGGGAGGGGATGTATGGGTGGTGAGAGGTAGGGGAGGGTGCATGGTGGAGGTAGGGAGGATGTATATGGTGGGGGTGAGGAGTAGGGAGGATGTAGGTGGGAGAGTAGGGAGGATGTATGGTGGGAGGTAGGGAGGATGGTGGGAGAATAGGGAGGATGTATGGTGGGGAGGTAGGGAGGGGTATGTATGGGAGAATAGGGAGGGTGTAGGAGGGGAGAGTAGGGTAGGGTGGGAGGTAGGGAGGAGGATGTATGAGGAGAAGTAGGTAAAGGAGGATGTAAGGTAAGGAGGTGGGAGAGTATTAAGAAGGAGGTGCATAGTGGGGAGTTAGGGAGGATGTGAAGGTGGGAGGTAAAGGGAGGGATGTATAACAAAGGTGTTAGGGAGGATGTATGGTGGAGTAGGTACAGGGGATGTATGGTGGAGGTAGGGAGGGTGTATGGTGATGGAGGTAGGGAGGTGGGTATGGTGGGAGGTAGGGAGGATGTATATGGTGGGGAGATGTAAAGGGAGGATGTATAAGTGGGAGGATGTAGGGGGAGGGGAGGATGTATGAGGTGGGAGGTGGGGAGGATGTATGGTGGTGAGGTAGGGAGGAGGTGTATGGTGGGAGGTAGGGAGGTGTATGGTGGGGAGGTAGGGAGGGTGTATGGTGGAGAATTAGGGAGGGATGTATGGTGGTGGAGGTAGGGGAGGGTGTATGGTGAGGTAGGTAGGGAGGATGTATGGTGGAGGTAGGGGAGGGTGTATGGTGGGAGGTAATTAGGGAGGATGTGGTGGAGGTGGGGAGGGTAGTGGAGGGAGGGTGTAGAGGTGGGAGGTAGGGAGGGTATAATGGTGGAGGGTGAGTGGCAGGTAGGGAGGAGGGGGATGGATATGGTGGGAGGTAGGGGAGGGTGTATGGGTGGGAGGTAGGGAGGTGGGAGGTGGGAGTATGGAGGTGGGGCATAGGTGAGGGTAGGGAGGGTGTATGGTGGGAGGTAGGGAGGAGTATGGTGGGAGGTGGGGAATGATGGGTGTAGGTAATTGGAGGGGGTGGAGGGGAGGGTGGGTGGAGGTGGGGAGGATGTATGGTGGAGGAGTAGGGAGGGTGTATGGTGGGAGGTGTAGGGAGGATGCATGGTGGAGGTAGGTGGGGAGGGGGAGGATGTATAGGTGCAGGTAGGTAGGGAGAGGATGGTGGATAAGGTATGGGAGAGTAGTGGAGGGTGTATGGTGGGTCTAGGGTAGGGGAGGGAGTGTATGAGTGGGAGGTAGGGAGGGTGTATAGTGGAGGAGAGTATGGGGAGGATGTATGGTGGGGTAGGGGAGGGTGTAAAGGTGGAGAGTAGGTAGGGGAGGATGTATGGTGGGAGGAGTAGGGGGAGGGTATATGGTGGGTGGAGTAGGGAGGATGTATGGTGGGAGTGGGGAGGTATAGGTGGGAGGTAGGGAGGAGTGTATGGTTGGGAGGAGGAGTAGGGAGGGTGCATAAAGTAGGAGGGATGTATGGTTAGAGGTGGGGAGGGTGTATGGTGGGGAGGTAGGAGGATGTATGGTGGAGAAGTAGGGAGGATGCGGGTGGTGGTAGTGGGGAGGGAGGTATGGTAAGGGAGGATAGGGAGGATAATATGGTGAGGAGGTAAAGGATCAGGGTGTTTATGTGGGAGGGAGGGAGGAGGGTGTATGGTGGTATTAAAGGGAGAGGATGAGGTGGAGTAGGGAGGGTGGGATGGTGGGAGGAGGGTATGGTGGTAAGGGAGTGTATGGTGGGTAGGTAAGGGAGGATATATGGTGGAGGTTAGGGAGGGTGTATGGAGAGTGGGGAGGATTAGGGAGGGGAATTATATGAGGTGGGAGGAGTATAGGGAGGGGTGTATGGTGGGAGGTGGGGAGGATGTATGGTGGAAGTGGGGAGGGTGTATGGTGGGGAGAGGTAGGGAGGATGTGAAAAGTGAGGATAAACAGGGTGTATGAGGTGAGTAGGTAGGGAGCATGGTGGAATTAAGGGAGGATGATGTGAGGTAGGGTTAAGGTAGGGGAGGATAAATTAAGAGGGTCTTATAAGGTTAAGGAGAATTACAGGGGAGGATAAAGGTGGGTGGGAGAATTAAGGGAGGATGTGGAAGGAGGATGGTGGAGTAGGTAGGGAGGATGTAAGGTGGAGAATTACAAGGGTGTATGGTCCGGGAGGAGTATAAGGTATGGTTGGAGATTAAGAGGTATGGAAGGTGTGAAGTACGTCGGGAAGGATCATGAGGTGGTAAATTAAAGGATCTCGTGGAAATTAGAAGGAGTCTCGATATTCGTCCAGAGTCCGATGTCCAGGAAGATATAAGATTCATCCGGAAAATCTCTCGTCGAGAAATAAGGAGGGGAAAATAAAGAAAAGTCACCGCATAAATGAAAATAAAAGATCTCTCATATCTCGTCCGGAAAATGAAAGATCTCGCGTAGAGAAGAGAAAATAAGAAAAGTCCCTCGTCCGTCAGAGAAAGAGATAAAATCCAGGAGTCAGGAAAGAGTAAGAGAAATAAAGAGTCTCAGAGGAAGAAATGGAAAGATCTCTCGTCATCCCGAGAGTCTTATCGTCGTCAGGAAAGGGAAAGGAAAATTAAAATGTAAGGGAAAGATATAAATTAAATAAATTATCGATAAAATGTCAGGAGAGAGATGGGGAAAATGAAGGAATCCTATAGTCCGGAGAGTCA